TATATATATATATATATATATATATCTTTAGAGCATGTAAAATACACCTTAACTGGCATTTAAAAAAGAAAACTAAAGCTGTATGTCTGTTCTACTTCTTTCACAGCTTCAGCACGGAATGTTTTGTGAACCTGGTGTAGGTGGGATCTCAATAAGGAGAATGACATTAAGTGCTCAATGGATCCGTGCACAGAGCTACCCTGTACCAAAGTAGATATTTGCTATCTACCTACTGGGCTTAAGAACAATTCTCTAAGTCTTTTCTGGTAGTCATTCATAACTCTTCTTCCTTATTGAAAAATGCCCAGCCTTAAGTAGTTAAAATATAAAAATCTATTTCCTAGTCACTTTCAATAAAAATTCTTTTAATGGTGACTTTGTTCAAGGCTATAACTTAGAGTGGCTCTGGGGGGATTGGGTCAAGATTATTTCACCATCTTCCAACCTCATATGCCTTTTACCAACTCCTTGTCATCATTTTTCATGCTTTGGGTTAGGGAAGAAATTGATCTGATACACATATGCATACCCCAATGTTAAGGATTTCAGAAGATAACCCAATCTGCCCTCTTTGTATTTTATACAAGCTGATGGTTAGCCCAAACAAATTCATCATAATGGTGGCATTTCAAATATAAAAAGAAAAGATATGAGGATCCTCTTATTTCAGTCCATACAGACAACACCCCACATATCCTGTGAGGTACGAGAACATTCAGTGTTACACGGGTTAAAAACAAAACCTAACTTTTTATTATGTTTTTCTTTGGTCTGTGAACAACTCTGAACAAATCATCCACAAACTTAAGAACAGAGAGGCCTGGATCTGACAGCATAAGCACAGCATGCATTCTTCTTTTCTTTCTCTGTTTTATTCTGTGTTGCTAAAATAGCACACTTGTCAAAGCAGCCAGGTACAGTGGGGTTCAGCACAATGACAATCGTATCAAAAAAGAACATACAAATTATAAGGTAATAGTACGACTCTCACATCCAGTACCTCAATGTCATCTCACAAGCAAGCTGACAAGTGAACCAGCCTACTAGTGGAGTGTTGATGAAAAATACTGACATCTTCACTGTGGTGTTACACAGGTACTAAGCCTGACTTTAGGAAATTCAAAACTTCATGCTGAGCTTAAAGTGTAGAGAACAGAGCAACTGAAAGGGCTTTCTTTCTTCTCTCTCCCTGTACCCTGCACCCACAATACAAGAAGACAGAGATCAAACAGTGGAGGAGGAGAAATCGTAGAGGCACTAATAGACAAAAGAGTTTGGGAACAGGCACCTGTTAGGAGCAGAAGAGTCATCTTGTTTATTGTCTGACTCTTCTACCTGAACATAAGGTTCATAATTGCAGGGTTTTTAAAAAATATTTTATTAGTTTTATTTTATGTGCATGAGTGTATTGCCTGCATGTATCTAATTGCATCATGTGCATGCAATGCCCTGCAGAGGCCAGAAGAGAGTGTCGGATACCCTGGAACTGGAGTTACAGATGGCTGTTAGCCACCATGTGGGTGCCAGGACTCGAACCTGGGTCCTCTGGAAGAGCAGCAAGTATTCTTAACCACTGAACTATCTCTCCAGCCCCAGCAAGGTTTTATGTACTTTGTTCATTACTGTTTCCTCAATGATGGCACACAGTCCATGGTAAACATATATTTTTAATGAATGAATAAATGAATGAAATTAATACTGTCAAAAAAACAGAAGGAAAAAGCTTGAAATGCCCCCTTCTCTTTTACACACACACACACACACACACACACACACACACACACGCACACACTCACACTGTGGTTCTACATGTATCAGGCCCACCTTAGAAACAGTAAGGTGAATGGGAAGTCCAATGATTACAAGAGCTGAATTACACTTCATATTTCACCACTAAATTGCTTCCTTTCTCTGAGCCTTATTTTCTCCATCTGTCAAATGGAATTGAGCCAGATGACCCGTAATTAGTCATTTCCAGCCTTAACATTCTGCACTCTAAATAAAAACCAAAAGTGCTTCTTCAGAGAGAAACAGGGAAAATGGACTGAGCTCATTTGTATGAAAGAAGCAAGATCTGTTTGTTAAAGTCTCAATAGGAGAAACAGGTATTTGTTCTTACCGTTTTTAAAATAATCTCAAAAATGTAAATCATAGTAGAGGAAGAGACTTTCAGAGTTTAAAGAAAACTACAACCTTTTAGACTATGCATACCATTTAAATTGAATACAAAAGCATTGAAATTTGGAAAAACTGACTGCTAGAGTTGAAAGGGTCTTCTTACCTAAATTTCTCACCTCCTGAGGTCTCTGAGAAGTGACAGGATTTTGCATGCGCATGCCATGTCAGAGGTGTTTACTGGCTGCTTTTCAAATGCCCTAGGCTATTCTGTAGAATGATTCCAAGGTGGTCAGTTTTGTACAGTAGATATGACATTTCAGAATCTTTTTTTCTAACCTTTCAAACTATCTTTGTTCTTCCACTAGCTTATCTATAAGTGTGAATTCTCCTGTGACCTTATTATGATGTTGTCACATGTGGCAAGTTTACACATTCTCTTGACACAAAATTTGGCTTCCTTTACAAAAATGAGGAAAAAATTAATTGTCCAATTTTTTTTTTAAAAAAGAGGGGGTACCTCTTTTCGATAATATCTAGGTTCACTTATAAGGCTATTTTCTTTTCCTAAATGCCATTTTCAAAGCGAGAGATCAGAGACAAAGCTGTTGTGGGTATTTGTTTAAGCCTGCTTAAAATATACACTAGTCTTTCAGCCACTCATGAGCTTCTACTGGATGTCAAACAATACAGTAGGTACTTAGGTTAGAGAGAAGAAAAGCATAGTAATTGCCTTGAGGTAACTCATAGCCTAGAAAAGAAGGCCAGCAGGCATGTACTACTCAAGCTCATTTGTTGAATGTTTGGATCCCAGTTAGTGGCGCTGTTTTGGGAGATGGTAGAAATGTTACGGCATGGGGCCTACCTAGAGGTAGTAAGTCACTGGACCCATGCTTCTGGAAATTATATCCATTTCTTGATCCCATATATTTTATTCTCTCTCTCTTATTTTATCTCCCTCCCCCTCCTCTCTACCTCTCCTTCTATCTGTCCTTATCCCTCTCTGTCTCTCTCTCCCTCTCCCACTTTCCCCATTCCCAGCCACCATAAGATAATATTACTCTTCCACATCATCTTTTTCATGACGTTGTACCCTACTGAGAGTCCTCTAAACCATGAGACAATTGTTTCTTACTTTCAATTACTTGTGTCGGGTATCTTCTCAATACAGAAGCAACTACTAGAAACTAATACAGCTATCTTCAAGCTGAACCTTCTGCAAGGCCAATCAACTGATAAGAACATCAATGATTATGGAGAGTTTGGAATTTTGCAGGTCCAGCACTTAATTACAATTTATCTCGGGCCATACTAGCCGTTCCTTGCTCCTATCTGCGTCTGATCTAACATCCTGTGACTAACAGATAAAAACCTTTCAATATGTATTACTTAACTTAGCCGACCACCAATCCAAGGATGAAGAAGCCTGTCAGATAGCACCTAAGGCCTATCACAGACTTTTCATCACTTTTCTATAAGCCAACTCTCTGAAATCTTCACCAATGTATTTGAAAGGGTCTTGAATGGCTTTCTTTATTATGTTACTATAAAATCTTAATGAAACTCTTACCATGTGAGAACATAGAGCTTGGCCTGACCTAAATCTGTGTTCTGAGGCCACAGTCACTCATATTTGGCTCCAGAATAAACTATTTCTTCTCCCCTTTGAGATGAGAGTTGTGCTTTTGGATCAACAGAGGAAAGGACAGAGTTCTCAAAGCACAGTAGTAGTACTTCTAACTCAGTTTATATTCTGAGCCTATATAACCTACTCAAG